GGGGGGGGGGGTCAATGGCGCAATCACTTTCTGCTGCCTCAAGATAGCAATGTGCCAACAATTTGCCTAACGACACCTCATTTTAAGACCAACACTCACGTCAGTGCACAGATGAGTGCAAATGCATTTACTATTCAAACAGGCTGAGCATGAAAATGACAACTGTCGTTTGGAAACTAGCAATAATACTTGCGCTACGCATTTCGCCATGTGCAGGATAGGGCCCTAAGAAATGAGATCAACTCAACCACCTTTTATTAAACACTCCTTTTCCATGTTTTTTTCCACCTAACACAATACATTTTTTGTGCAAGCATTAGGTTTTCTGTTTGACGCCTCGCACCTGTGTATTCAACATCAAAAATGGCACTCTTAAAGTAACATGCCATGTGCAAACAGAGCAAACTATTGAACATGTATGTTTTCATAGAAGTGGAGGATACACATAGTCTCCACTTTCTGCTGTCACATCTCTGGCCCAGCTCTCACCCAAATGAGGGAGCGGTACCACGACACGTAGATTTAATGTTCGGAGCTGTATTGGGCCGACATTAGCTAATTAGCCAGTATCTTAACGCACACATTCATAGTTTTATATCTTGTCATTGTTTGTCACAAGCAAGAATGTTACTTAGGAAAAAGTTCTCAGACCTTGCCCTGTCCCTTAAGTCTCTCACAAAGTTAACCCGGCATTCTCTACTTCCCTCAACATGTTAACTAAATTAGGTAGCTTGTGCACCTAGCTAGGTGGTGAATGGCTGGCAAGCAACTGAAACTAGTGCCCTGAAACAGCTAACTTAATATGTATAGCTAATATTTGCTAAATAAAGTTTTACATCAAATAAAAAGGTATGGATGTTAACAAATAAATCAGACAATGCACATGCAATGTACTGATATTCCCGGAGGTGTGGTCTTGAAATAAAATCACGAGTCCTCTTTGTTTGGGACAGACCAAATAGAAATGCGGTCGATTCCGAGACAAGACCCAAACTTTCAAAAAGACTGATCTCAAGTACTACATAAATATTATGTACTGGGAAAAAGAGTTCCCTGAGTATAACAATGAAAATATTCAAGCATACTTGTTGTTCAACATGTTGTATTTTGAAGCTGCAGTTACATAACCGTGTAAATAGTTGTGTAAATGTTGATCTTATTGTTCACCTTTTCCTTTCTACAGTTTATTGCCCCAGTTTTATGTTTGTTTGGACTGAATTTTTGGTTTAGCAATATGTACACATGCAGCACAGATGTGTGCAATAAAAGGTCTTTGAATTGGATTGCAAAAGAAAGTGATCAAATGAAATGTGAAAAGCTTCAACACAATTGATGCTGAATGGTTTTTATACAATTTATTGTTTTTACATTTTTTTTTTTTATATATATATATATATATATATATATATATATATATGATTAATGTTCTTCTGTTTGTGATGACATGGCAGCCTCTTCCAGCTGTTCATCAGCCTTCTGCCCAGTGCATTCTGGGACTAAGGCCCCTATGACTCCTGCTAAAGTAAATGGGTTTAGAATTGTGGTGAAACAGTTGCTCGTTTACTTCAGTGATTAATAAATACCAACTTTTAAAAATAGTAAGCCACTACACCCCAAATTGTCTCGTTCCAGCTTCTAAAGTATCAGAACATTATCATGGTCTCTGGGGAAATAGTGTCAGGCTCCAGACGTGGAACCCAAAAGCAGACCGGAGCCAGAGTAGAGGATTTAAGGTTATTTGTTTATAACAATAACAAACTGAGGCATAGTGGGTGGGCGGTGAGTGGGGCAGGGGTTCGATTTGAGTCCCAGGTCCAAACGGTGCAGGCAGAATATGGCAGACAGGAGACAGGCTGGTGTTTCAGGCAACGTGAGCTGGGTATGTCCAGGGTTTGGTGCAAGGGGTCTGGTTGCATCATTGACACAGCAATCCAGCAGGGACTAGAAGGCTGGTCTGATCCGAAGCAGGCTGAGGTGATTGGATTGATGTGGAACAGGTGCGTGTGTGGTGATTGGTGTCAGGGAAGCTGAATGACAGGTCCGCTACATCATCATCTCCATGCTGAACAGGAGAGAAGGAGCATAACACAGACAGACAGACAAAACCAAAACACATCAAGAACACAGCAATCATTCCAAAACTCAAAATAAATCAAAACACACTCACTCTCATACAAGATGTACTAGATGACGGGCATCATCATTATTTTCACTTTATTCAGAGCCCAGTGGGGAGAGAGAGAGGGAGGGAGATATTGGTAAATTCAGCAGCTTTTGTTAATTTCTTGAGCAACACTGTTTCTGATAAACGACACACCCACAACACTGCAACTGACTGTGAGGTAACATCTTCTGAGTGAGTGGAATGCTCCTTCCACGTGTTGTCATTTCCCCCCTTTCATAATTAATTTGGTCATCCTAACATCCACAGTGTTGCCTCAGTATGATTTTAGTTTGTTTAACCTTGGTTTTCAAGGTTTACTGTTAAAATCCCAGACTTCTAACTTCAGCATGATCACTCAAACACGGCGTGATAGTTATAGCTACAACCCAATATTGGAAATCTCTCATGCGCATTACCACAAAAATCTGCAGCTGATCCATGCAGAGAGGACATGTCCACCAAATTTCAGCCAAAAGCAGAAAATGTTTTCTTCACACAACTCAAACAATATGGGTAAAAACATCAACTTATTTGTTACGTTTGACATTTTGGATGTAAGGTCTCTTCATAAACCATAATATTTACTTGTCAGTGTTACAAATTGTTTTACATTTTGCCTTTTATAGCATTTTCTATCACTGCTGAGTTCACCTGGTTGTAAATTCTGCTATGTGAAGAAATATTGTTTCTGATGCAATCCTGAGGTCATGTTGAGATTGATCTTTGTAAGCCACAAGACAGACAGACAAGGCTGTGATAAATACTGTCTGTTGTCTTTGAGCATGTGAAAGTGGCGTGTTTGGTGCTTTGAGTCTAAAGTCTCCCGGCAGATGATGGTACACACAGGCATCGCTGAGGGGGAAAACCCACCAGTGATGGGAGCAACAACAGGAATCTTGCCCTCTGACCTAGACGTCTGCGGAGGAAAGAAAACAGCCTGTTTCTGACTCTAATTCAAAGATATCCCTAATGCAAAAAGTACTGTTTAGATTTACAAAAGAAATATCCTGGAACAGACTAAGTGGGCATTTCAGGGATTTCTTCTGCAGCTAAGAAGAGGCTGCAGGTACAGGTGAATGATATGGAACTGAATACAGATCAACCAGATGTTGGACTAACCTCTGTACCATTTTATTAGACTTGTTAGTGAGAACACAAAGCTCAGAGGACAACAGTCTGTCCCTCGGTTCAGTTCAGACCACTGTATTCTAGTTTTGGTTTGGAGCAGCACAGCCTCTAGGGGGCAAAACAGGGCAACTCAAAGTCTTGTTACGAGATGATCAAAAAATGTGGTCAGGATGACCCTCAACTGAGATTTCACAGTGTAACTGAGTGAATTGTTTTCTTGTAAAAAGATTAAAATTAAAAAAGGAGTTAAGTCACTTGTTGTCTGATCGGCCTCCGTTCTCCAAATAAAGTTGACTCTGTTCCATTTGATGTTTTTGAGGATAATAATTAACCCACAGCTGAAAAATCAATGAATGTTTAAAAATAGCATCTCTGTCAACATGTATGGAAGTTAACACCAAAAACTGTGACCAAGAGAAGGAATCCAAACCCCTCAACTTTTAATTATATTTAAAGTAGTTTTTTAATCATTGGGCATGGATAGATTTAACTGAACATCTTTAAAATGTGTCTGAATATTCTCATTCATTCAGGCCACAGTTATCAAAGGAAGGTTAAAATCAAAGGCAACTGGACTGTCATCCAAAAGGCTGCTTCAGTTCTGACTCCCAGCTGTTTCACCTCTGTGGGGTTGTTATCAAGGTGATTGATACCGCTTGGTTCGTTAGCGCTCCTGGCTGTGAACAATAGTCGTTATGGTGGTTGGAGTCACCTGAGGACAAGTCTGAATCACTGTCATTAGTATTGTCACACCAACATTTCTCCTTGGATTGTTGAAAGCAACATGTGCTTTAATCAAAGTATTAAAGTCTTCAGTAACCATTCATTAGGCAAAGTTTTTTCTCAGATAATTTCATCATATATCATCATTTACATTGACATCCTTGTAACGAAGACTAGGGAAGAAAAGCCTTTGAGTTCATTATTTCATTGATACCTAAGCCATCAGATAAATCACATCAGACCCATATGACCCTCATTATGTAAGCCTGTTTGTTTCTTAAATAAATGTTTGCTTTGGGTGTTTGTTAATGCTTGTCTATTTGTTCTTGTTGGTCCACAAATGTGCTGAACAAGCAGAATGAGACTAAATTTAAATTCCAACTTAGAAGTGAAATATCAAGCATAAAAAGTCTGTTATAAAACTGTCAAAGAAAACTATGGATTAATTTATGGATCTGTGGAAGAGAGAGTGAGTCCCTGGCTTACAAAGCATCACTTTTCCAAAACAAATTATAATGTTTAAAATTTAAAGAATCCCTTTGCTGAATAACAAATTTCTGTCTAAGTAGGAAAAAATAATTACTCTGATTTGTGCCAGGAACCATTTTTAGAACACATTTACCGGTAATCATCTTTTAAATAGATTACACTTTTCATTCTACAAAGTCATTGGGACTGTGCTATGGGTATCCCAGTCATGTCAGGGAAGAGCCAGAAGCTTTATTCAGCACTCTACAGTGAGTAATCTAAGATTATCTGAAGCACCAGAAGGGGTCCATCATGTTTCTCAAATAGCAACCGAGGCAACAGGCTCAGGCATCCGAACGATGGGGCCCTAGTAGGCGACACTCCCCTATCAGCTGGCCGGCAGCCAGCTCAGGTTTTCACTGATTGGTTGGCGAGGAACTCCACTAACTTTTCATTGGCTGATTGAGAAACCACATGACAGCATATGCAAATTGTCTCTATGTGGCAGTAGAAATCCCTCACTGCTGAGCAAACTCAGCACTGAAAGGCAGGAAGAGAGCAAGAGAGAGGTGGAAGAAAAGGGGGAGTGACGACAGCAGGCACTTTCAGAAAAAGCTCCTTTTTATAGATTTCAAAAGTCAAAAGGGACTGACAACTGAGACGTATCTTTTCTCCTTGGAATTGTTTATCTCTTTATTCCATGAGTGCTGCAAGGTAAGGATCACAGAAAGAGTTTGGTTTAGGTTTTGCAAAAGTGACGCATGTCATGCCAAAACATAGAGAATCTTTACCAATCTAAATCTTTAGCACTTTTTTGTGAAGATGATTTTGAAAACTGTGTTTGAATGTGTTCTGCATAGTTAAGCCATTATAAAACCATAAGCATAGGTTGTGAGATGAGAACTTTTATTGTACAGAAATTGTATTGGCAGAAGTGATGACTTTCATGGAACTGTTAAAGTCAGAAAAATTAAGCTTCTCTAAAAACTGTCGTCACTGTTCTAATCCCTCTTCCTTTGTCTCTCTCTCCACCTCCCTCATATTTTTTCTCAATTTCCTCTCTCACACCACCTCCATTCTTCCCTACCCCTCTCCCTCCCTCAGTGTGCTCAGGTCTTTCAGTCCATCAGCAATGCCTGGCCCAGTAATGCCGATAGATGTGGCTATGAGATTCTACATCAGTCACTCTCCGCCTCCTCTCCGGGGTTTCCTCAGCTCTTACGATGAGCTGCAGAGGGCCAAGAACCGGGTCAACCAGACCACCCGCAGCCACAACCAGCAGCTCTACAAACCCCTGCGGCCCTGCCTTAGCAACCAGCAGAAAGCGTTGGATGATGGCGTCTGCATGGGCTGGAACAACAAGGCTGGCAAGAAGAAGGTGGTGTTTGCAGACACTAAGGGTATGTCACTCACCGCCATCCACGTCTTCTCTAAGTTTGACGATGAGCCATATCAAAACAAGCATTGCAAAGGAATCATGGAGGATCTACAGTTTGACATGACAGACCTGGAAGCAGCCACAATGGATCTAAAGATCAGCTCGGTGCGCAGCCTTGCGCTGGACTTTAACCAGCCCTCAGCTGACTACCTGGATTTTAGGAACCGCCTGATTCGTAACTCGGTCTGCTTGGAGAACTGCTCACTGCAGGAGCGCTCGCTGACCGGCACCATCAAGGTTCGGAACATGGGTTTTCAGAAGTCGGTGCAGGTGCGCACCACATTCGACTCGTGGGCCAGTTTCACTGATGTCGAATGCACCTTCATGAACAACGTCTACAGCTGCCAGGATACTGACACCTTTGCATTTGTCCTGGAGCTGCCCCCCTACATCCCACCACAGAATCGGGTTGAGTTCTGCATCTGCTTCAAAGTCCAGGACCAGACCTTCTGGGACAATAATGACGGCAAGAACTATGTTCTCAAACATGTTGGCTGGAACGGAGAGGACCTGAAGAGACCCCCATCTTCTATTGCACAGAAGAAGCCTTCAGAGCACAAAAACGGGGATGTGAAGCTGCTGGAGATGGAGCTTGACCAGTTCGGCAGCCCACGCATGTCCAGCGGACTCTTTCCTGGCTGGCAGAGCTGGGGTCAGATTGATACCACCGTGCCTTATTGGTGAAAACATCAGAATGTTTGCTGAAATGGCATTAAAATAAGATAACAGACTCTGGTGTGGCATTGAGTACGAATCCAGTTGTGGGTTTGAGCTTAGACTGGCTCTCAAAAACTCAAGCAAACTACTGCTTTTTTTTTTTTTTTGCAGAGGAAGTGCACAAACCAGACTAACTGTAATTGTGCTCAGCTTACCAGCTTTTTGCTGTAAAGTGGTCATTTGTCCTGAGAGACTTGAGGATCTGTGGTTTGGAAGATCTCTCTCCCATTTGTTTCAAATATTCCTCTATTGTAAAATATGTGCCTTCTCAGAGTGCCTGCCCACTAAAATACAGACTATTTGTACAGTCCACGACAAATGTTAAGCACCTTTTGAGGGCCTGATGTATTGGTTAAATATGCACTGATTGAGATGTCCCTCTCAATGTTATGTCTGTAAACTGAAGCAGTGGAAATGGGGCTGATTTAGTCCTTCATATTGAAGGGAAAGTATGAGGAGTGCATGACAATGAAATGCTTCTCTGCTAAAAGAAACACAGCTGTTCATTTTGAATGAAAAATGTACACTAAACTTTTGCACCTTCAAAAGGAAAGAAAATAATTGAACGTGATTATAAATGGTCACACTTCTAAACTTTTAGCCATGCAGCCCTTTCTTTCCCTTCGTGTAGATTGCACATGTTTGTCTGATGAAAAATGTTTGGCTGATGTAATTTTGAGGTAAGTTAAGGAACTGAGCTGCTATCAACAGATGTGTCACGAGAGAGACTCTGCATGTGATTGGTTGTCCTAAACAGGGAAGAAGTTTGGAAATCTCTGTGGTTATGGTATGTCAAGAAAGGGTTGATGTAAAGACAGGTTGTTTTGTTTTATGCGCTGAGTGTACAGTATGTCTGGCTGGAATTGAGATTTTCCTTTTTTTGAAAAGAATCTACTTTTTTTTCTCATAGTAAAGAGAGGTCTGTGCCCCAGCATATATTTCACTTGAAGGTGTGTGTTGCTGACGTGCACAATGTCAGTCATGTATTTCCCTTTCAGAAATAAATTTCTATATTTGTGCAAACATGACTCCTGACCCTTTTGTTATAAATGTTTTGGTAGTTTAGCATACTATGCTTTACGTTGTTTTTGATGAATAACTCATCAAGATAAACATAAAAATACTACGTGCTCTAGAGCAAGTGCTAATGTATTTATCATATTTAAAATACACAATGATAAAATTACAAATCAAAACCAATTTCAGTTAATATTTTTTCAGTACACACATTTCTCACTTTGTTTTGTACTGTGAGCCTTCTACAATGCATTTGTGGTGTACAATAAACATACAGTATGAATGAGCTTACATTTAGTGATCCAAATATAATCAAACAAGTGGAAAAAAAACTAATCAAAACAAAATATTGTAACCGCCTACCTGCAATTTCATAGACAGGCCCTTCAGAACCGTGAATCTTACAACAATTCAGGTTTATTCTTGCTTTACGATGCTGTTAAATGTCTAATTACATAAGAGGTGTTTGTAAACACAGGAACAGTGTGAAGTGTAAACACTTGAGTTAAATGAATAATTTGTGAATATGTTAATACATATAGAGGACGAGGCTTTTATTTACCTCAACAAAAGGGAAAACCTGGCCTTTATTTGAGAAAGGCTGTTATAAGAGCTACTACATTTACTGCTACTAATGATATACTGTACTTATTTGTTGTGTTGATATGCTCCTCCTCCTGTAAGTTTAGTACAAAAATAAACACTTCATCTGTTTCAGATAAAAAGCTTAAAGCTGTTAAGGGAGGAAATGTAATGCATTACTTTCCCTTGAGAGCTCATTATTTTGAAACATCGGCAGGAAATAATGATTTTCAGTAACAGCTAAACATCTCAGTATAGTATAGTACTAACCAGGCTGCAGAGGGAGTATCATGGAAGTAGCATCATGTGCTTCACAGAGACATGGCTGAATGAACTCACAGCGGGCTCACTAGTAACTCCGGATGGTTTTCAATTTTTTGACAATGGACAGGAGAGCTAAGGAGATGAAAGTCGGGGGAATATCACTGTTTGTGAGTGACAGATGGTGGGCACATTCATGTTAAAGAGCAACTGACATTGAGCTGTTAGCTGTTAGCATATGGCCATATTACCTGCCAAGGACGTTCATCGTCGCGATAACTGTAGCCATCACCCCCTCAGCCGATGCTACATCAGCCTGGGAGCACTTAAGGCTCGTGCAGACTACACGACTTTCAGCGTCAGCCGATCGCCGTGCTGTTCACATTACACAACTTGCCGTCTTGAAGTCGTTGTGGCGTTCACACTACGTGACTGATCGGTGACAGGGGGTCACACGCTACACGAGCTGACAGTGGCTGTGTCACCCGACGCTGGTCTCCAAACCATGTTTAGTCAAGAAACACAAGTGAAATGTGAAAGAGGAAATGACGATAACCTGCACACGAAACAGCTGTTGTTTGTTATTATAAAGACAAAGAATCTGGGTGGAAGAATGGATTAGCACACGCAGGTAGCAGGGATGTGATGTGTGATGTGTTGAGTAGTTCACACATAACGACTGGCGACTGCTGATCAACCGATGATTTACCCCCGATCACAGCCTGACGGTCGCTGAGCGGCAAATCGGGTTAAAATCGTGTAGTGTGAACTAGGCTTTGTACACAGTCGTATCAGAGCTGCAGAGATCGTACCCACAGTCCCTCCTACTAATCTCCGGATACTTTAACCCAAATAAAAACTAAATATGTTCTGAAAAATAGCTTGTAACAAGAAATGTTGAATAATAAATGAAAATGCTTTTAGAAAGGTTTATGTGCACAAAAAGAAATCATGCAATGCAGTTTAAAAATAGAAGAAACAAATGTGCATTGTCCAAGAAAGCAACAAAAAAAGCCATTGATTACTGCATTATATTCCATCATATTTTGAATTTCCTCATGAATTTTGTGTTGCTCTTCATATAAATAAAAGACACTTACATCATAAATTGGGGCAGAAAATGTCTCCAGAATGCAGTAAATTAAGAGTTTAATGCCCTAAATCTTCTGGGGCAGGATCCCCTGACCCGAACCATATATTTCAGCATTGAATATTTCTTCAAAGAAGTGTTAAAATATCTTCTTGTCTTGTTCTCGTGACCAGTTTTTCATCACACCCCTAATCTCAGACCTTATGTCCCCACCACTTTTCAACTCAAAGAGATGCCCTTGCTTTTACCATGCTTTCCTGTCCTCCAGTCTTCCCACCCTCAGCCAGTGTGTTAAATGCCACACCAGGGACAATAAAACATTGGATCTACTGTAAGCAAACACAAAGGATGCATAGCTACAGCTCTTCAGCCCCACCCCCGCCCGGCCACTCTAATCACAACCTAGTACTATCTGCTGCCTGTTCACATACATTTGGTAAATAGACAACCCCCAACCAAAAGATATGTGAGAAAATGGTCTGAGGAGACCAGCGAAGCACTGAGAGAGACCATGGTCCTGCTGAATGAAAAGAAAAGACTTTTCAGATCTGGGGACAAAGAAGAGCTGAGGAGGGTACAAAGACAACTTAGATTGGAGATAGGAAATGGAAAGATCAGCTATAGGAGAAAGCCGAACGACCGCCTTTAACATAACACCACAAGGGGGGTCTGGAGAGGAGAGAAAACGTCTCTGATGTAGTGTTTTGCAGCACAGGGGTCCCACAGGGTACGGTACTCCCCTGAAGAAGTTCTCCGATGATACGGCCATTGTTGGACGGACGTCAGAAGGGAACGATCAGGAATAACAGGAGATCATCGCTGACTTTGTGCACTGGTGTGAGTAACCAACTTCAAATTAATGCCAGCAAGACAAGGGAGATCATGGTAGTCTTCTGCAGGAAGGTGCCCCAGACTACACCGGTCCTGTACAAGAAGGGCCAAAGTTGTCTTCATCTGCTGAGGAGACTGAGGTCCTTTGGTGCGTGCAGGACATTGTAAAGATCATTCTACGACACTGTGGTGGTCTGTTGGGAAATAAAATAACCGGTTCAAAATCATTTTGACGGTATACTGATATGTAATAGGGACAATGGCTGTGTTAGTGAGCGCTTCTCCTTTGCCGAGATAATCCATCCACCTCACAGCTGTGGCATATCAAGGTCCTGATCAGACAGCATGCACAGCTGTGCCTTAGGCTGGCCACAATAAAAGGCCTTAGGCTGGCCACAATAAAAAGGCATTGTGTTGTGTGATGGAACTGCACATTTTCAAGTGGCCTTTTGTTGTAATACATACACACACAGCTCTTTCATGAAATTAGAATTCATGTCTTATTATCCAGTTTCCTTAAACTTACAAGACCTTTAAATAATGAAACCTCAAACCCCACATTGAATACACACTATTAACAGTAAAGATTTTAAAATAATGCAAAACCCTCTTTTTATTGTTCAGTTGGATGCAGTTGAAAGTCTCAGTTGCCTGCAGGCATTTCTCTTTGCTTTCCTCAGACTCATTTCAATTATCCATGTCCATGTGTCCTGTCCATGATGGATTCATATTCAGCAGGAAGAACGCTCACTCCCTTTCTTTGGCATGCACAAAGGAAAGACCTCAGGCTGCACTAGGATGACCTTCTGAAGCCTAAAAGATTCCTGCATTATCATAGTTTTAACTCTTTAAATACAGGCTTAACTTTGCTGTTCTTGGTATTACTCATATTTCGAGAATCTTTACTCAAAACACTTAACAATTCTATGACATTACATTTTCAGGGGTCATAGCAATGGTATTGTGGTGTTTGTGCGGACACTGTAAATCAGAATGTTTTTTGATGCCTTTACCCACCAAGGTTTTGGGAAATAAAAATTCTTCAAACATGGAACAACCTGCTAAACAGAATCATCCCAAGTTTATATATAACAAAGATGTCATTATGAATTCAAATCAAGTTTATTGTCACATTCAGAGTGATACACAATACAATGTCTAGTGAAATTCATTCAACCCATCCTAAGTACAGGGAGCAGTGGGCAGCTACTCTACAGCGCCCGGGGACCAGCTCCAATTCTAAGCCAGTGCCTTTGTCAGGAGCAACAACAGGAGAATGAACCTGACATGTGTTTGATGGTGGGGCAAACCATCGCAATCACGGGGAGAACATGCAAACTCCACACAGAAAGGCCTGGGATGACTGAGGTTCAAACCCAGGACCCTCTTGTTGTTAGGCCACCCTGCTGGAATTTAAATGGAAGAATAAATTTTGTGTAAAGCATACTGAACACGCATTAGCTTTTCATTTTGAAATGGATTGTTGAAAAATCTATACAGACTCCAGATTGATCTTCAGAGCTGAATCTGACCTTGATGACTGAAAGATCGCCGTCCTGTTCCTCCACTTTTCACTGTGGGCTTTATAGTTGAAAATGGAAAAGCTGATCCCATATCAGCTTCAAAAGACACATCCTGAACTCAACTTGCCCTCAAGCTCCAGCTCATCTCCACCTGGCTGATGGAATCACATTCCTTTAATACCTGTAATTTCCTGATGGATCACTGTAAACAGCCTCTCTCTCTCTCCAGCCCTCCATCTTTCGGTTTTTCATTCTCTTTACATATGTATGCAGGTCTGTTTTTTACAGTACGGTTCACTGTCTTTCTGTTTATTGCACGCCCTACTGTCATTTCCTTTTCTCTGTTTGGTTTTCTTGTTTACATTCCTTTCTCCTTTCTGCCTACTGCCCACTGGGTTATATGCGAAGACTGAATTTCACTAGACATTGCACTCTGTATGATTGTGTATGTGACAATAAACTTGATTTTTTTATTTCATTTCTATTAGTTATGATGCATTTTACTCCACAAACTAACTGATGTAAATCTGTGTTACTAGACATCTACAAAGTCCAGTTTAACCATATTGAAAAGCAAAGAAATGTACCTGAACGTCAAAAAAAAATTTTCTCTACAAACCTGTAATCATCCAGGTGAGTTGTTTCTAGAGGAGATTGAGGACCATGTTTTAACACAATGCATGCATTTAGCCTTCTCACCAGCCTCGGCTTTGTCTTGG